CCTGAGAGCTCACGATCTGATCTAGATCCTATCGTAGGAGCTATTAGGAGTCGATCCATGTCTTTGGTAAATTGAGCAGTGTCAATGAATGACAAAGTAGAGCACTCACTGAATTTGCATTTGGGTTTGTTGCATGGATGGACTGGCAGGTCGTGCAGCTGCGGCGTCTGGTCCACTTTCTTCGCCAGCTGCTGTCTGTTTTACAACTTCGACAACCGTCCTTTGCCTCTCTGCACTCAGCCTTTGCACATTTTGGAATGCAGCAACGGCGAGCTGGAAATCATGGGACGTTTTCTTCAGCAACGATTGCTGATGGGGTAATTGGGACTGCAGGATCGATAACTGCTTGAGATCTTCGGTTCCCCGTTTGATCATATCCCTCGTTGTTTCTGTAAGGTCATGGCTGTATAGCATTCAAAAGGGCGTAAGAACACGTTGACCGCAACAACGGAGAGATGGGGTGATGGAGAATGTGGAACATAATAATAATATAAGTGAGCGAACGGGGAGTATTTTAATGCGATAATTCGATTCAAAGGAGAATGATGAGCACGTACAGGGTCTTCCGCACATTACCAGTGTCCCTGTTGGTCCCCAACTGATCCACAAGCTTGCCTATTCCCTGAACATTTGCACTTATTTTGAAGACGTTGAGAGATAGCGAGGACTGAAGATTCAGGAATTGAGTGTCCTTTGGTGACTGAGGTGCTCGGAGCGCTCCTCCAGAGAAGCGCGTGTTTCCTCCTTTGGATGAGGCGCTTACACCTCGCTCGAGATCGTTGAAAGACTAAAAACAACGTGATTAATAATGAATATATAGCATCATTGACCGTAAGAGAAAGCGTTGTGGGCCGTACCATGAGATGATGTTCGTCGTAGGGTCCAAGAAACAGGCAAACCCGACGTCACCATTCCAGACGCCATAGCATGAACAGCCCGCCCTTGGCTTATTCAAGAAATTCAAAACAAATGTCTTTGAAATAAAACTATTCTAAGGGCCCTCCGGGCGATCCTGACCTTTTCGTTAGCCCAATAATCGACGCTGTATGAAGTATCGTGTCGACTCTGAGAAGCAGTCCAACACTTGCAATAGAAAGAGCTCAATACTGTAAACTTTCCGATCTATTTCAGGTGGTATAGATGAACTACTCCTATGAGTGAATCAGAAAAAGGTGTAAAACCTGCCTGATGAACGCAAATAAGCTAATTTGTGCGATGAGAGGCAGCTTAGCGGGTTAGAGGCTCTCAGCCTAGACTAGTCTCATCTCATTAAAGATTAAGTTGGCCTTTAAGAAAATAATATTCAGGAGAGAATAATCACAGTAAATTTTTGATATGACGACTAAGGTTTGGTCGAGATGAGAGGGCGGTTCATCCTCGGCCCAATCTTTCAGAATTCGATTCAGTTGTCAAAGGAAAGTGCCTTAACAGGCACCGAATTTTG